GTTACTGTTGTTCTCATTATCAAGCAGACTAATAAAAATTATCTAATATCTTTTAAATTTTTTCTTCAACCAGATAGAAAAAATTATTTTCATTGTATTAAATATTTCTAGATACACCTTTGCATTTAAGCCTACTGTTTATAACAATGCTGAATTCTAGATGTTGGTCAGGTCCTCCTACGAATGCCCTTTCAGTCTGTAGCATCCTTTTGAAATACACTCATCATTTTTAAGGAAGTTAAAGGATAAAGAATAGCCCCTTTGCAGAAGATTCTGTGATGGTACCAGGAGTGCTCAGGAAAGGCACCCTGTCACATGCTACCTTCTGATAGTGAATCAGGTTCACCAGATACTTAAGAGGCTCATGTATGAAGAAACATTAGTGAGTGCACATGGAGACAGGAGTTAGAACAGGGATAACGGTATGTAAGTGGCTGAAATACTCCAGAGAGAGTACATTTCCCAGAATAAACAGCGTTTCTTTGTAGGACAGTGGCATACACATCCAAAAACCAGACGCAACATGTTTTTCTGTTGTGAAAACAAAGCTAATGCCAAAAAATGTTTGCTATTTAAACTGCTCGCAAACATGTGACTGATTTTTCACTAAGATAAGCTTCCAGTTTTCAAACAACTCACATTTTTCTTCTTGAACATATTGTCATGTTGTTATGATACTGCCTATGAGTCTTTACTTTGGGTGTAATTTAGTCCATGGTAAGGAAAGAAACAAAGTTTGTAATTGTTCCCAGTCTGATTTTAAAATATTCCCTTAATGACCGCTTTCAAGCTTTTCAATATAATCCTTTCTCATGAAAACATAAACATGAGAGGAAGCTCTGAGATGAAAATATATTGAGAGGAAGAACTTGATGGTACATTTCTTTNTGTAATAATTCATCATCTGTATATTGCATTGTTTGTTCACCACCCAGAGTCATTTCTCCTTCCATCACCATATATTTGATCCCTTTTACCCTCATCTACCACCCCCCTCTCCCCTTACCCTCTGGTAACCACTAAACTGTTGTCTGTGTTTATAAGTTTTTGTTTGTTTGTTTTTTTCATTTGCTGCTTTTAGTTTTATATCCCACATATGAGTGAAGTCATATGGTTCTCAACTTTTTCCATCTGACTTATTTTGCTTAGCATGTTACTCTCAAGATCCATCCATGTTGTCACAAATGGCAGTGTTTCATCTTTTCTTACGGGCAAGAGGCATTTTAGGTGCTTCCAAGACTTGGTAATTTCTGAGAGGAAAATCCCTACTTTCAGACACTTTATTTGGGCAAGATGTTAATTTAATATCTTAAACTAATCTTGAAAACATTTTTTTTTTAATCCCGAAGGAGTTATAGGAAAGCAGTCATCTCAGAGCCCTTTGCTCGCACTTCTTGCAGTGGCCTTACGTGAGAGTGACACGTGTGACTAGTGTGTGGAGGTCTGTCTCCAGTGCTGATCACGAGGGCGTGGGGGTGCAGGCCTCTGTTCTTTATTCGCTCACCATCATAGGCGTCGCAGCTCTAACTCGGCACTAGCCAAGTCACGGTGCTTAGTTACCCTCTTGGTGATTGTGGTGAGAGGGAAGGCAGCAGCAACCACCACTTATGGAGTGCTTACTGTATACCCGACTGTGTTAAATGTTTTTTATGTTATTTCATTGAAATTCATACACCAACCCTAGTTCTTAGGTATCTTCCTAGTTTATGGTGAGGAAATGAAGGCTCAAAGAAGTTAAGTAACTCTCCCAAAGTCATCAAGCTCGTAGTAATAAATAGAGCTACGATTCAAACCAGACTTAACATGCCAAGTGGGATTAATTAATTTCTCCCCAGACCTGTTCCACCCACACTTCTCCCCTTCTCAGTAGAAAGTCGTTCCAAACATAGAATTATCCATGGCACCTCTCTTTTCTCACACTCCAACCCAATCCATCTGGGGAACCTTTGGCTCTACCTTCAAAATGTGTCCAAAATTAGACCAGCTCCTCACTGCCTGCCTTGCTACCACCCTCATTTCTCTCTTGGGTTCCCTCAGTAGCCTGTTCTGCCTGCTTGCTCTCTTGTCCCCCACCCCCACTGTCTATTCTCAACACCACAGCCAAAGTGAACTTTTTAAAACATAAATCGAGCTCCATCACTCAGACCTCAGTGGCTTTCTATTTCTTTCAGAGCAAACAAATGTTAAAGTTCTTGCAATGGTGGACAAGGCTCTGACCTGATTCGGAGTCCCATTACCTTTTAGAACTCATTTTCTACTCCAACCCACCTTGCTCACTCTGTGCCAGAAATGTAGGCCTTCCTACATTTCCATCATTCTGCTGCAGGACCCTTGCACATGCTTTTCCTTCTGCTGGTAGCACACTTCTCCCAGCTAGCTGCATGGCTAAGTCTTTCTCCTCCTTCAGGTCTTAACTTAGATGTCACTTCAGTGAGGGCCTCCCTATTTAATGGCAGCCCTCCCTGGGCACTCCTGCTCCCCTTTCCCTGTTCTCCTTTTTTGTTTTTTTCATAACACATCACTTTCTAACATACTACATAAGTTATTTATTATGCTATAGCTTATTATCTGTCTCCCACTGCAAACATGTAAGCTCCATGAGTACATGCATTTCTGTCTGTTTACCCTATAGCTATATTCTAAATGCCTGGAACAGAGCCTGGCCCATAGTAGGCCCTCAGTATAGATCTGCTGAATGAATGAATGGATGAAGTGGAATGGCAAAAGTTCAAGCTTGTAGCTACTAAGCTGTAGTGGCTCCCCAGGTGGTTGTGGTGGCAAAGAAATAATAAAATAGATTAAAGTAATTTTTTTAAATGTTGGAATACAAATATATGAGGTATGGGTTTTAGAGTTAATACTCTCACTTGTTTCCATAGGCTAATGTTCATATTGGCTTGCAACTTCATTATCCAGCTCCATAAATCTCTTTATATAAAAGATTATGTATCGTGTTTGTGGAGTAAAGAGAGCAGATATGACTAAACCCAAAATTTGGCACTTGCTCAATGGGGGATAATTAAACACAATTGGTAGATAGAGCTCTTTGAAAGGTTATCTGATGCATAAAAACATTGCATAATTTATTGCAATTATTAAAATTCAATATATTGTTGATCAGTTGTGATTTCTACTTAGATATTAGAACAACTCGTTCTCTCATTAATTCTAGTTTAGACCCAGCGACAACAAAAAGGAGCAGTAGGCTTCAACACATATTTTCTTAAAGGCCACTTGATTTTATTTACATCATAAAAAATGATCACTTTAGAGGCAGCAATAAATAAAGATAAATCATAGGAGGGTAGGTGATTCGAGGAGTGTCCAGTTGAAATGCTTCTTTCCAATAATGTTATTGACACGTACAGTAGAATGTAAACATGAACAACTGATATGTAATGATGAGGTCTAGAGGATAAACCTGGAGAAGGACAATATATAACAAGAATTATGTACTTTTATTTATTTTTATGACCAACAGCCAGTTTCTAGCCCACGAGAGTGGGTTTCCTAGGAACAACTTAGAGGAATTTGCGTAGCAGTTTTCACCTACAAATCATGCACGAGGTATTCAGTAAAGGTATTGTCCGTATTTATCAAAATGTCTATCGGTGGTTATGAAAAAGAAAATACGGAAGTAGCTCTTTTGGCACATGCTTCATGATTTGAAATAGTTGAAGATGGCATCTTGGATGGGTTCCTGTTTGCTGATTATATCATTTGTATAAATATATCAGAAGCAGGAGACGTGGCAATAATCTGTTCTTGTTTGCACCCTGTTCTCATTGCTAGACTTTGGGGAATCATTGAAGGGAGTGGTACAAGCCCCTTATTTGTGCCCTGAGACAACTGCAGTTGAGTGTTTATCTGGGGTATACCAGACCAGCACTAGAACTATAGGATCTTGGCTCCCTATTAAATACTCTTTCCATCTTACCACATTCTTCAACTCTTTTTCCACATAGCCTTTTAAATCTCCTCCTTTTTCATTTAATCTTCTTCTTCTCTCTGGTGATTTGCCTGTGCTGATGGTTTATGGCCTGTCTTTGACCTGTTCAGCCTGCTATTCTGTGGACCACAGGTGCGCAGCAGAAGCCATATGTATTTGATTTACAGACTAAAGGACACCAAGAATGACTTACATTGTTTTTAGCAATGGCTTTCAGAATCTTCATGCTTTCATGATTCAGAAATAAGAATGAAAACAGAAGAATTAAGCATTCAAATCAGGAATGGAGAAATATAAATATAAGGAAATGGAATGAATGACCTAGACTTTCCTTAGAAAAGATTAGAAGTACACATCAGAGGAGTCTTCATGTGCTAGAAGAACTGATTGCAGAAAATATGTGTTGATGTATTCTCTCTGTTCAGATGACTTATTTTTAGTTTCTAAGAGGTCCCAGTGAAATAATGCCTTAAAGATACTATCTAAGAAATGAGAAAATACCTATTCAAAACCGGATAATATTGGTAAACTATTTTAATATCACTAATAAAATCCATTGTAAAAACTATTTCTGGGACCGACCGAGTGGCTCAGTTGGTTAAGAGCTCACTCAAGAGTGTGAGCTCTGAGCGACTAGTGGTTCGATGCCCGGCCCGAACTGAGCTGCCACTGAGCTGACAACAGGTAGCAGGATGGCTCAGCTAAACAAACAAAAAAACCCCTACCATTTCTTCTTTTATTAACAGCAGAGAAAACTGGACCTCAAAAGATGAGATATTAAGACTTGAATCATGCTGTTAGAATTANATTAATTTATACAAAAGGCTTACAACAGTGCCGGACACATTTCCCCTTAGACACTACCGTGGCTCCAACTTCACGGAATTTATGTTATTAGAAATAATAACATAAAAAAATATGGCCTTAGATGGTCATAGTTGATTTTATACATGGGCATATATTTGGCTGACATTTTCAGTTTGTATTGTGTAAACGTATATGCTAAAGCCTGGCTACATAATTAGCTTATCTGCATTTGCATGTCTTTTAGATACTCCCAGCCCCTACATGAAGAAATAGCATTGCATAAGCATCTGAAGCACAAAAATATTGTCCAGTATCTGGGCTCTTTCAGTGAGAATGGTTTCATAAAAATCTTCATGGAGCAGGTTCCAGGAGGTAAGAGAAGTCTTTCTTTCTTTCTTTAAAAAGTATAAATTCTAGGGCCTTGAAGAAGAATAAAATTGAATGGGCTTTACAAGTTTACAGGTTTCAATTTTTCTAAGTTTAAAGAAATCTTGCAGTTTATTAGGAGACAGTAAATAAATACCTGAACCATTTTAGTATCAATCATTGTGACTTGGATTAAGGGTAGCAAATGAGTGGCTTTTTACTACTTACTATTTGATGATGAGCATCTTTAGAGCAGAGACATTTGCCTAATCATATTTGAGCCCAAGTATCTAGTTTCTGGGCCACTGTGACTAACAAATAAATATTAGCTTAAATTAGTGTTACATGATTAATATACTTTAAAGAGCTCATTTGGGTAAGATTTTGTCTTCTGTTTTCCCCTACTTTACAGGAAGTCTTTCTGCTCTCCTTCGTTCCAAATGGGGTCCATTGAAAGACAATGAGCAAACAATTGGATTTTATACAAAGCAAATACTCGAAGGATTAAAATACCTCCACGACAATCAGATAGTTCACCGAGATATAAAGGTAGGATGAACCAGGATTCATTTTTGTAAGTTCCTTGGTGGATAATTGTTTTATTTGTAAAAGCCGTGTTGTGTTATGGGTATTAATTTTAAATGGCAAATAAATAAATCTTAGAAATGGCAGAAATACAAGATATTACTGTGCCCTGAATCAGTTACTGCTGTTCATGTCTTCTCTCTTCTACTCAAGGAGTAAACTCCTTAACCATGTTCAACCAACAAAGGCTGAGCTTCCCCTGAGTGCCTGGCTGTTAGGTGCTCTGTGTGGCTGGTGACACAGCAGAGCAGAGGTGCACAGGATACGGTTGCTGCTTCTGGGGAGCTTAATTGCTGGTTAATCTTTGCATCCTTGCCCATAGTATCTACTCAGTAAATATTTACTGAATCAATGGATGAATGGTTAGAAGGAAAAAAAAATAAAACCTCCTCTTCTCACAAGTATCATATATTTATGGATTGAACTAAAATTAGATAACTTACTTGATTCTCTTTAAAAAGAGAAAATTCAGAACTAATAAATTTCTGACAAAGGCTAGACTGTAGAAAAATAAGTTTATATTATTACGCTAAAATCAACACATTTATTTGTTGTAAATTGACCGGGAAATTATGAGTATCATTATTGAATTTACTATGCGTGTACCGTACACAGGCAGCCCCTACTATCTGTGAACCACAGCGAACTCTGAGTAGGAACCACATTTGACCTTGTGACCTGAGTCACAGACTGTGAACAACTGATAACATATAAACAAAAATGATGTTAAGAATTCACTTTTGAGATTAACTGTTAATGAAGAGTACAAAATTAGTGTGCTTGTTTGCCCTAAGGATGCCTTTTCTTATTGGACTTGCCAGCTAACAACAAATAGTATTGGGAGAAAGATAACATTTTTTATTAAAGTCCTCTGTTTTCTAGGGTGACAATGTGTTGATTAATACCTATAGTGGTGTTCTCAAGATCTCTGACTTCGGGACGTCAAAGAGGCTTGCTGGCATAAACCCGTGTACTGAAACTTTTACTGGTATGTGTTTGCAAGGGTGATACAGATCTTACGTAGTTAAAGAAATAATTGCTGTGTTTGAGCATAATGTGAGAGATAAATTTAGTTTTTTTTTTCTCATAAACATTAATGTTGATATCTTGATGCTCACTGAAAAATGTTGTGTAGAATTTGATCTGACTCTTTCTTAACCTTGTACTTATATGACTTGTTCAGTCACCTGGTTAATGCCACTGAAGATGTTTTTTTAAACTCTCAGTTTGTTATTTTTCTTTTCATGTCATTACTTCTCTCCTCTTTGGCCTACAATCACTATAACCCTGACAAGATTTTTTTTTTTTTTAACATTTCTTTTAGCCCAACCACTCTGTGATTCTTACTTATACCTTAATCACTTCCCATTTGGACCAATAATTCCTTCTTTCCTAATCTGTTTACTCCCTGTGGTGTATTCCCCTACTCACAACATAAATAACTGTAGGATTTCAATTTGGAAAGAGGAAGTGACTCATCAATTCAGAAGTGGGGTGAGGAGAAATCTTTCCTAAGAAATTAGGTAATGCAGCCACTGAGTTGCCTGTAGAGCAGTCCTGGCAGGGTGGAGACCAAGGGATTTACAAAAAGGTAATGGTAGCCAAGAGGAAACTGAGGCTCAGAGAGAGTAATTGACTGTCCAGCAGATATCAGAAAGGCATCTGGAACTTCTCAACCCTGTTCTCCATTCCAAGTTCTTATCACTCCATTCTCCTCTTTCTCTTAAGTGTTACTATTATTATTATGATGAGAGAGCGAGAGAGATGTAGAAAAAAAAAGAATAATTTTTGGTCTAGTACAGAATAAAATGGCCAGATTCCCCATTTCTGAGTTCTGTGAGATAGCGGGTAAGCACCTCCTTTGCAGATGAGGAAATTGAGAGGGAAGAGGAAGAGGAACAGCGCAGCCTAAGTCACAACAGTTGATACGTGATAGAACTCCGATTTTTCATCTACCCTTTGCCCTTTGCCCGTTGCCCTTCTTGCTTCAGTCAGTCTTTCCCTCCACTTGGCTTCAGTGAAATCTTTTCTAGAAGCTTGGGAGGGGGAAAAGAGGAGCGAGAGAAATTCCTTAAGTTTTTTCCTCAGAACATT